AAAAAAAAAAAAAAAAAAAAAAAAGATGTCAAATGGAATATGAATTCGTGCTGCAGCACACTATAAATCGATTCATTTGCAGTACTTGATTATTCTGCACAGAATTTGTATGTAAAATTTCTCACATAGCTCTAATTCTACAATAGCTAATAAGCTTGGATTTAAGAACCTATTTTGCAATATATTTCCTAACAGTTTAAATTCAATACTATAGATAATTTTGCCATGGAAAACATCAAATTGTCATCCTCACAGTGTCACTGGACAGTTAAAGTATAATTATAAAAAGAATATGGAAAATATTCGAAAAATGCCAGGCATGGTGTCTTACACCGTAATCCTAGCACTTGGGTAGGCCAGGGCGGATGGAGCGCTTGAGCTCAGGAGTTAGAGACCAGTCTAAGAAAGAGCAAGACGCCATCTCCACTGAAAACAAAAACTGAGGCAAGAGGACCACTTGAGCAAGAGTCTGAGGTTGCTGTGAGGTGTGACGTTACCACAGCACTCTATCCAGGACAACAGAGTGAGACTCTGTCTAAAAAAGGGGGTGGTGGTGGGGAGGTTCGGTGCCTGTGTCTGTAGCTCAGCAGTTAGGGCATTGGTCACATATACTGGAGCTGGGCAGATTCAAACCCAGCCCAGGCCTGCCAAACAAAACAATTGACAACTACAACCAAAAAAACAGCCAGGCGCTGGGCAGCGCCTATGGCTCAATGGAGTAGGGTGCCAGTCCCATATGCCAGAGGTAGCGGGTTTAAACCCAGCCCTGGCCAAAAACTGCTTTAAAAAAAAAAAAAAAAGCCAGATGGCGGGCGACTGTAGTCCCAGCTACTTGGGAGGCTGAGACAAGAGAATCGCTTGAGCCCAAGAGTTTGAGGTTGCTGTGAGCTGTGATGCCACAGCACTCTGAGGGCAACACAGTGAAACTGTCTAAAAAAAAAAGGAAATAATCTTGCTAAAAATCAGGCTTTAAAAACATGTAACAGAACCCTTCAAGTAATAAATGACAAACAAGGTATAAACTCCAATTTTCTCTAAAGATGACACAACACGGGTCCACTGAAAAAGTACAGAAATACTTTAGGGTTTAAATAGTTTAGCATTTCCCAATTAAATTTACTCATTCTTTGACATGGCAGAACCAGGGCTGGCCCACGATGCCTACACACTCAGCTTTCCAGGGTGCATCAGACTCTCCAATACAAATTAAAGGAGACAGGTCCTTTTTCAAACAGCAAGGTAGGTGTGTGTGAATGGCCTTCATGTTTCAAGCCTTTCTGCTATTCCAACCAGCATGCAATTTGATTCAGCACCACGGACAGTGTCATTTCTTTCCCCGCAGGACTTTCCAAAATCCCAACTACCAGGTTACATCATAAAACCTATCTAAGTATTTCCTAACGACAATGTGCCCCGCTCCCAAAAAGGTCAAAACAGCAAGAAACAGATACTGCCACACAAAACATTTAAGACGAAAACACTTAAGATCACTTTCTTCTTACTACATTTCCTCTAAACACAAACCCATGTTTCTAAGGTCCCTGGTACCTTGACCATTACAGCCTAAAGAAAAATTGCAGGAGGTGGTTAAAAAAAAGGAACTCAAGAGACAAAACAGAAAGGAAAAAATTATTCTTGCTGGTTAACTAGCTCCAATTCTCTAAGTAAAACTCATGTTAAGAAGGCTACTAAAAACCAGGTCTTCAGATACACTTCAATCTTATAAGACTATATATATCAAGTCACCATTTGTACAGTTTTATGGGGGGGGGAGCCTACCAAGGCTTATTAAATAAATTATGGTACATTCCACCAGTGGAATGTCAGTGTACCTATATGGTACCTCCCCGAGATGTTTAGTTAAAAAAAGATAAAAAGAAGGGCGGCGCCAGTAGCTCAGTGGGTAGGCACCGGCCACATATACCAAGGCTGGCAGGTTTGAACCCGGCCTGGGACAGCTAAAATGACAATGACAACCACAGCAAAAAAATAGCTGGGTGTTGTGGCGGGCGCCTGTAGTCCCAGTTACTTGGGAAGCTGAGGCAAGAGAATTGCTTGAGCCCAAGAGTTTGAGGTTGTTGCTATGAGTTGTGATGCCATGGTACTCTACTCAGGGAGACAGCTTGAGACTCTTGTCTCAGAAAAGAAAAAAAGATAACAAGTAATGTGTAACACATGCAACTTTTTTTTTTTTTTTTTGCAGTTTTTGCCGGGGCCAGGTCTGAACCCACCACCTCCAGTATATGGGGCTGGTGCCCTACTCCTTTGAGCCACAGGTGCTGCCCAAGCAACTTTTTTTTAAAATAAAGGGTGAGAGTGAACAGAAATACATAAATTCTTATTTCCTTTACAAAATTCAAAAGGTTCTACAGAACACTGGGAGGGTATATAAGAACCTACTGATAGGTTCTGCAGAAGCAGTTTGCTTGCAGTATATTTGGTACTATCCTACTACAACTGCTACAGAACATAGTTTAAAAGCATTTAAGGAGAAAAGTAACAGAACATTATGTACAAGATACACATCCATTCTAAAATTTGGATATGTAAATGTAAGCAGTCTAAATGGTGGTGAATTATAAAGCAAACTGAGTAGAGGTCTACAGTTGAACTCAAATCTCCTGAACAGCACCCTACCTTTTACATCCAAATTAACATTCATGTTGGTTTGGCCAATTTGACCCTTTCCACCCACCTGACCCAGAGAAAGTGATCAAGTTCAGTGAAAAATGGCAAGAAGTGGCTGGTTGGTCCACTGTGCACATGAGGAACAGGGCCCAGACAACAGCAGGTCCTGTGAAGCCCCCAGTCAACTGCTTAAGGCAATTTAAGTCTAGCTCCTGCAGGGCTGAATATCAAGTTTTATTTTTTAGAGACAAGAGTCTTACTTTGTCACCCTCGGTAGAGTGCCATACTATCACAGCTCACAGCAACCTCCAGCTCTTGGGCTTAGATGATTCTCTTGCCTCAGCCTCCCAAGTAGCCGCGACTACAGGCGCCCAACATACCGGCTATTTTTTGTTGCAGTTTGGCTGGGGCCAGGTTTGAACCCGCCACCTTCAGTATATGGGGCCGGTGCCCTATCCACTGAGCCACAGGCGCTGCTCAAGAATATCCAGTTTTTTAATGTTCCTCACAAATTAGGTAGCTGTACAAGAGGATTTAAAAATTTAATCAAGATGAGATAAAATCTGTGGACTAGTTAAATGATTAAAGTAGTCAAATGCCACAAAAAAACTGTAGAGGCTTCCAGCATAAACAAAAAGACTGCCTTCTTTTATCATCAAGACAAATGTGTGAGATTGGCATATCCACACTTACTGCTGAAATTTTGTTAAGACATGGTGACTCTGATTTGGCCAAACACGAACTATAGCATTTTTTTTAAGAGACAAGAGTATCGCCTGGGTGTCCGCAGCACAGTGGTTACAGTGCCAGCTATATGCACTGAGGCTGGCAGGTTCGAGCCTGGCCAGGACCAGTAACCAACAATGACAAGTGCAACAAAAAAATAGATGGGCGTTGTGGCAGGTGCCTGTAGTCCCAGGCACTAAACTTGAGGCTGAGGCAAGAGAATCACTCAGCTTGAGGCTGAGGCAAGAGAATCACTTAAGCCCAAGAGTTAGAGGTTGCTATGAGCTGTGACGCCACGGCACTCTACCTAGGGTGATATAGTGAGACTCTGTCTCAAAAAAATAAATAAAAATAAAAGAGAGAGAAAGTCCCAACTCTGTCACCAAGCTGGAGAGGAACAGTCCCATCACAGTTCACTGGAGCCTCAAAACTCCTGGCCTCAAGCAAACCTCTTGCCTCAGCCGCCCAACATGCTAGGATTACAGGTGTGTGCCACTCTGCCCAACCAGGACTAATTTTGACACATAAATATCTGAAATAAGTCTGGGACACATCTGTCAAACATCAAGTACAATGTGCAATGCCTCAGACAATTCCTGGATATGTGAAATGTCTATGGAAAAAATAATAGCCATACAAAATATGCATATCAAACCCAGAAATAAAATAGAAGACAGTTTCTATTACTTATGATATGTAATCCTTTTGCCAATAAATCTTGACAATTATTAAAGGCATACATTTACATGTATATTAGAAGGTACAAAATATCTACTTTTTAGAAACACAAAATATTCTTAAGGCCTACGCCCCCTTTTCCTTCATGGAGGGTGCCTATGTGTATGTTCAGCTTTCTTCCCATTGACTTATATTTGTGACATCATAACAGAACTACTATCCCAAAGAACACTTGCCCATCACTATGGAAATTAGGTAGCATTCATTCAGCATCTGAATCTCACCTTTGGATGAGCTGAATCAGAAAAAAAACAGAATTCCAATTTGTTGGCTTGGACATTTTTCTGTCACTTAAGAATGATTTATCAAACCTCCCCTCAAAAGGTGGCAAGGGGGTAGGAAACACACCAGACTCCACAATAAGACATAATAGCCTCCCAACCCATAGTCCACATACTGCCACCAGGTGGTGCCTTGACCACAAAGATCCAGCTCAGATCAGCTACAGGTTCACAGGCCCAC